GGCTCCGGCTCGTCCCCCACCGGCCCCGCCGCGAGGAGGCCGCGCTGGTACAGAAATCCGCCTCCAAAACGGAGCAGTTGAAAGAAGCCAGGGAGGACCTGGAGACTCCCGGGGCTGCGGGCTGCAGCGCCTCCCGGGGAAGGAGGGTCTGTCCCCGGGTCCGGTCACCCGCACCGCTAAGAAGTTGTTTCCTACGTCCGTCCGTCCTCTCACAGCGTCTGGCAGCTGCTCCGCGTCCTGCCCGCGGGCGCCCTAGTGAGCAGTTTTTCTCCCACCGCCCGATATTGGCCCCTTACATACTTATAGACGGCCACCAAGTGTCCCCCCCCCCGCAAAGTCTTCTCATCCCCAGGCTGAGCGGTCCCAGATCCCGCAGTCTTTCCTCATCAGGTTTGTCCTCCAGGCCTTTAATCATTGTTGTGGCCCCTGTCTGGACCCTTTCATGATTCTCGGTGTCTTGTAATGCAGAAACTAAAGTCGTCCAACTAAAATGTTACGGGAAACAAGCAGGGAGCAGTCCCTGGACCGCGCTGCCAGGCCCAGACTCCCCTCAAGTGGAAAGGGCATACCGGTGTCCTGCTTATGAAACTACCATATCTACAGGAATAAATTACTGCAAAGCCTGCTCACACTGAGCCCGCAGCATCCCCCGCTAGCACTCAGCCACTTTAGCCTTTTCTGTCACATCCCAAGCGTTATGACTGGGGAGAAAAATATTGTGTATACTGTACTGTGCAAGAGATTAACTGTCATGCACAGTCCTGTATGAAGATCTGATGAAGAATGTCTTGCATTTGAAAGCTAACTTTATTATTGGTTTAATACAAAGATGTCCCCGTCCCCCCCACTAAAGAATCCTTCCCTCTTCCATAATTAATGGACCGTCACAGCTACATCACTCCAACGGTGCCAGATCTATTTATTAACATGTTTTCTCTAAAACATGATCACGCAGGAAGGATTTGGTACATGCTGACAATCCAAAGGCCAGGTCAATAGAGATGCACAAGGTGGGCAAGAAGGGCACTGGCCCCAGGTACCAACTTGGACAGGGTGCACGGTTGGTGGCTGCTACTGCGACCACTACTGCTGCCCTAACTGCCACTGCAGCCCAGGGTGCGAAAACTGCTTGTTAGGCCTCTGGGCCAGATCCCTGAAACTAACTGTCCATAGCCCAGGATCACCAATCTTGAAGCTGCTGGATGCTGATCTGGTTCTAAGATGCAGTTCAGAGTAAGTGTTTGAAGTTCTAGTATTTCCCAAAGGCAGGCAAGTAGCGCCAGGCATAGAGATGCCATGACAGTGCTTTCTGCTCCTCCTCCCCCAGCAGATATCCTGTACCACAGCTTGGAAAGAGATATATAGGAAAAACTCTTGGCCACTCTACCACAAGGGACAGCAGAGGGCTGGCAGATGGATTTACAACTGCTTTTCACCACTGGACTACAATCAAGTAGCTACAACAGGCTGAGAATTTGGCTCATTGTATGGCCCTAAGAAAATGAACCCACAGCAAAACTATTCAGTGATGTACACTAGGAGAAAATAACTGGAAATAGTCTTAAAACTTCATCATCTGTGATAAAGTTACATTGAGAAATAATGTAATAGCCCTACAGGCAAGATAACCATAAAAAGAACAACAACAAAACCTAACTACATTACAAAAAATTAATTGCTACAAATCTTTATAGACCTGCCAAAGTCCTAATATGAGATATGATGCAAGAGAAAGATCCCAAATGAGAATCCTAAAAAAATTATCAGGCATGCAAATTTAAATTTATATTAAACTAATTTCTATAACATAAACAATATTTTTATATGATTGGCTCCATATTTAGGTGCAGCAATATGTGGGATTTCCTTCCTAAGGACAAGTTTTCTCTCTGCCTTTATTTTGAAGCTTCCTCAGTTTTTACCTCCCGTTCCTTAAAAGTTTTTCTGTTTACTTTCCTTTTCACTTGTTAATCCATCTGCTCAGTTACATACTTTTTCATACTCCTTTTGACCTAAATCCAAAGACCCCATAGTCAGCCAAAGTATAACCGGCTGGACTTTAGACATCCCTATTCAGAAATCAGAGAAGAATCCTCTCTTCAGAGACACTGTTTTTAATATTATTCAAATCCTGAATATTGAACAACAAAACAGTTGAAAAAAATCCTTCACAATTGTCTCAATTTTTTCCATTTGATTCCAAATTAGGCTTTTAGTTGAGAAGTAAATAAAGGTCCATTTATTGGAGTGGAAAGAAGTGAGAAAGGTCCTTGCTCCTAGGCATTTTCTTCAGTAGGTCAGAAAATGGGCCAATGGCAGGTGTTTTCTAGGGTGATCACCTGTCACACAATGGGAACCTCAAATCTTGGTCCCAGGCTGCATGTCTCTGGTACAGCGTTTGTCCTGGATTTGCAGCCTCATGCAGAGAGCCCTGGAAAACGGCAGGTCCCCTTGCAGGCTGGCACCATCCCATGCCTGCACACATGCACATGGCTGGGAACACAGCCAGGTAGCTTGGAGAACAGCTTCCTGAAGGTAAGTCTATGGGGTGGAGGGGTGGGCAGTGGAGCAGATCAAGGCCCCAATAGTGAGGGAGGGAGTGGGGCAGGAGCTGGGCATGCTGCCCAGCTAGGGCAGGGCAAGGGGCCAGAGCAGGAAGCAGGACAGCCATGGGCAGCTCGTCCAGGGGGTGGGCAGCATGGGGGGGGCATGTGCCCCCACAGATTTGTGCATGGAGCAGAAGCAGGTGCAGGCTGCCTACTGCAGGCTCAGGGCTCCCTACCCTGATGCCCTGCCCGCAAGAGCCCCACGCTGGCCATGCCACCATGGCAAGGCATACTCTGCCTGCCTGGCAGCAGTGGAGAGTTGTGCCCCCTGCTGCTGCTGGGTGGGCAGAGGGTGGACGGCTAGCAAAGGGCTCCCAAGGGAAAGGCAACAGGGAGGGGAGCCTTGAGCCTGCATCCATGCTCCGCTCCACTTGGCTTTGGTCTGGCCTTGCTAGCAGTGGATGGGGAGTGGGCATCTGTCCCACCTTTCCCTTTTGAAAAGATGGTCACCCTAGCCTTTCCCCTTTCCACTGAGGGAACAGAGCAAGGTAAATTGGACACCACATCTTTGCCTAGCAATTGGGTAGATGAGTGTTAGAGGGTCTCTTATTTCTCTTCCAGTAAATATTGTAAATGTTATCTTCTGGCCATGGCCTAAGGAATCTCCTCCATTTCTATTTCTACTATAACATTCTGGAGTGCTCAGAGGCCTCAATCAGGATCAGAGACTGGTTGTGCTAAGGCATCATAAAGTCATGCCCAAAAAAGGGAGGGTGGTCACAAGAGTCTGCAAGCCACAGCCAAAGACTTAGACTGACAGTAGCACAAGCTGTCTACTCCAATTATTGTATGTATAAAATGGAAGTATTAACCCTGCCTAAAATTATATTGGAAAAATGTAATGGCTTGGCTGTATATTGCTACACTTTTCCATGTCTTTACCATCTTGGCATTAGATGACTGCAATGTGTTTTGTACTGATGACATCTTAATACAATATTTGAAACATGCAGAAAAGTGACCCACTAGTTAAAAGTTACAACTCTTAACTGAAAGCATATGAGAAAGATGCTCTACCATATTGGTTAGATTACAGGAGACATGAAAGGACACTAGTTTAAACCTACAAAGGCTCACATAGCCTGGGAACTATCTTCTGTAGAACATGCAATCAGCAGGTACACAGTCAGCAAGGGCCCTGGAACATCCTCTACAGAAAAGGCAGGGTATTCTGTGCACAGCCTACAAACAGCCTCAGCAAACAGGAGAATTTGTCTGGGAGTTTGGGAAGCTTTTCTTCTCTAGAGCTAAGGAAAAGGAAGAGATAATGATGACAACTGAGGTAGCACTAGAGTGATCTGAAGAGGAGAGATAACAACAAAGATCACTAAATATAGAAGCTACAGTATGTACATTGTCCTTAAGGAAGTACCTGAGAGAAACTATTTTATTAAAAATTTCACTGAACAACATGGGCGATTGGTGCCACCTTAGTTGGGGGGGGGGGGCACATGCCCCCCCACCCCCCCGGGGCCAATCCCCCGGGGGGGGGGGGCTCCCCCGTGCGCCACCCACGGGGGGGGGGGGGGAGTCCCCCATGGCAAAACTCACCCACTAGGAAGCAGCCATGGCACTTCCAGAAGCAACTGCCGTGCTCCAAGAAGTGGCCACAGCACTACATCCAGTGCTCCCACTCCCTGGCCAGCACTCTCATAAGCGGGGAGAGCAGCCTGCCAGGGGGTGCACTAGTGCTCTCAGGGGGTGCATGTGCACCCCCATACACCCCCTACACATTGCCACTGCCCAACAGAGCTCCTAGAAGAGAAGATAGATATAGGGCTAGAGATGATGGTGAAGCTAAGTGAAAAAACGAAGAAAAGAGAGCTCAACATTTGCAAATATATGCCAAATAAGCGGGGCTGCAGGTAATCACTAGATGATGAAGAGAATGACCAATGAAAGAACATCACTGGAAAAATA